GAATTGAGCAACTGCTATATAATATTTTAATAATTCTATTCACAATCAATAGGAAATAAATTATCAAACAATTTCACATACTTATTAACATTTATTTTGTAATTTATAATATTAAAAAAATAACTGAAAATTGTGATGGATGATAGTACGTGTTGACAAGCATTTAATTTGATATTGAATGAAAGGCCAACCTGGATTTTGAGTAGTTTTCATCTGTCACAAGCTCAAATTCCCAAAACTTTGCACAGCAGTCTCCACTGCCAGACACAAATCCACGCTTCAAAACAAAATTAACCAATGATGCTAGGATTGAATCAGGCTTTGTAAAAATATTATTTTTATTATAATATTATATTTTTATAAAAAAATATCTGGACAGGAGTTCTTCTCAAATATTTGTAATTAGACTTCTAAGTACATATTGTCTTAATGTTGCATAAAATTATAGTACTGACAGAAAATATTACAAATTATTGTTGTATTGTACATGTATAATGCAGTTACATATATTGTAAATAGTGGTGCAAAACAATCATGATTTTTATATAATTAATATGCCTACTAAGCCGAGGGTTGTGGGTTCGAATGCTGATGTTGTGGTGATAACAAAACTATAAGGACCATGATAGTCCATATCACAAGCCCGCCATTTTGAATGGTTTTGCAATGTATCATGGGATACATATCTCCCTTTTTTCATCAAAACAAATCGCTAAAATCGTAAAAATACTAATTAGTTATCAATTTTTCCACTGACAGCATATGTTTGTTTTCATTTTTGCCTAGTAAATGGATTGAAATTCTTTATTAACTGTACGCCCCTGTACATTTTTTGGAGGTTTTTCTTGCTGTATTTCCTTGCATGTTGATATTTGTTTGTTTCTTCGCTTCTGAGATTAACTACAATTATATCAAATTGAATATTTCCCAACATTTTTCGAAAACTGAGTCTACATTACAGACAACTAGAGCACTGACATCGTTGTTAACTTGTTTACTCATTTATCAATCCCAAAATGAACTGCGTCACAAGGCTTTCCGCGGGATGCGATATGGACTATGAGGACCGTGTATTACAGAGGGAAGAAAGAGACCCTTAGTTTGCATAAGAGATAATGTGACTACCTTAAGCCTATCAGCTTACGTGTAGGTCACATGAGCCCCAGCTGCACTAAGCCTATTGAAAGCAATCAGTCTTACTTTATCTGAGGCTAACGATAAGCTCCAAACAGGACCATTATGTGCATCCACAGTCTCTAGAAGGCATCCAGCAGCGATATCAAATATCTCAATTTTGCCTTCCTGAAGTATCAAATAAAATTAAATGTAAAGACCAATATTTTTTTAAACAGTAACGTTTCAATTGGAATAATACTTACTATTCATGGACCGCGGAGCAATAATTTTTCCGACATTTTGAATTTTCTTAAATAAAGAAGTGAAGAGCCTCCTTATGAAATTTCACCATTTATATAATATATTCTATAAAAATTGTGTAAAAACTGAGAGTGAACAATTAATATTGAAGCTTTTTTGAGAAGTCTTTGGGATTTATTGATAATATTGCTGACCATGTGGCGGTAAAAATGTCTTTGATAACGCCTCAAAACGCTGGAAATGACATTTCCGAGAGTTAAGATTTCAAAAATTTCCGAACCCCTTCTAGTACCTCCTCGCCGCTAGCCCCCCCCAAAAAACAAATTCACGCTCCGCGGTCCCTGCTATTCATTATCATAATTATCATATTATCATTAATCATAATATCATAACTCCCTTCAGTTTCCAATTGGAGCACATTGTACTATCACACTCTCTACATCATTCTACAATAAATATTTTAGCACAATTCCATTCCTTGCATTTTGATTTTTGCTGAGGGAGGAAAGCCGGAGGACCTGAGTGGAGAAAAACCCTTGTGGCAACAGAGAGAACAGCACATCAAACAAACTCAAACCCAATGCATGGTCCATGCCCGAGAATCAAACCCAGACCACCAGGCCAACAATAATATCATATTACAAATCTATTTATCTGACAGTGTTTACTACCTTTGTGCCAACAATTACATGTTTGTCTCCAGGAACAAAGAAGGAACTCAGAGCATAACCGGTCTCCATGGTGCGTATACATTGGCGGGTTTCTCTGAAAATAAACAGTAGCCATTAATATATATTTTACTAAACCATGAGTAATAGACTGAGTGCTTTCAGTAAAAGCGTGACACACTTTTTCGATAATAATTACTAAATAGTTGCAATTAGTTGAACAAATTAAAGACTGAGGACGAGACTACCCCAGGCAGAGTGAGAGGGAGACTCACAGCCTACAGAGAAGGCTAGATCAAGCATATAATATACTAGTCACTTTGGCATAGCGATCTATACTCTAGTCACTTTGGCATAGCGAACCCAGTCGTGATGACAATTTATCAAAATTCAAATTTTTAATTAAATACTACACTTCTATACTAACTTATAAAGTATGTTTTTCTAACCTGTTCCAAACTTTAATGGATTCTTGTGACCCAGATAAAACGCACATTGCATCAGAACTCAAGCTCAGTGTCCTTGATTTTGAAGGAAAAAAAGTAAAATATATTATTTTTCAATTAAAATAATAGGAACTTTAACACTCAGATTCATGATTAATAGGTGTACATGTACACTATCAGTAAAAGTCTGACATGCATTACATGTAGGTAGTCTCCTTCGTAGCCTCCCCTTTTGTCGGGCTTTCTGGTCCCTCCCAAAAGGAGGAGGCTCTCTTCTTTTGAGTTGRACAGGAAGCCTGATAAAAGGTTAGGCTGCGGAGGAGACTCGACATGTACCTCAAATTTAAGAGCCTCCTGGCAAGCATATATCATAAAGAGCTGAAAATCTCATTACAAAGACCTAGTAGTATTATTCTAGTCAGACGATGCTTTGCATGCCTCATCACCATGATTACATGTACATACTTACTGTACAAATTATTTTGACAACTACTTCATGCTAATTAGTGGTTGATTAAAATTGATTAAAATTTGGTCACTAGTATGTAAGAGAGTGTTTTTGGGGGAAGGGTTAGGGAGAGGGGTTGACATGTCCTACACCATGTTTCCCAAGATAAATTGCAGCCTGGAGTGAAACTGCAAACCTCTGACAATAGGAGATAAAAGCACCTACAAAAATTATTTTTCATATTCAAGAATCAATCTTTAAATCTCATTTTATACCTGATATCAGAGCGGTGTCCAGGTCTTTTCACAAATTCAGTCAGTGTTGACTTAGGAATGGAGCCTTTCATAGGAATTTCATGAACTTCAATGGCATTGTTTTGGAGCAGAAGAAGAAGCTGTAAGAAGAGGTGGAAACTTTTTTAAATGACATTAATTTATTATTTAAAAAATGTACTTTGTTGACATATTATAAATAAATTGAAATTTTATACTTTTGATACCAGCTAGGTTGCACGTGTCATAATAATAATAAAATAATAAACTSTTTTATTTTGAGAGGGTAGCACRTAATAGTCTCTAAACTAGTAAACTTGTGGCCCTCTATATATTCACTCATACTCACTACCTCAACATTCATTATAATTTTACTGCACGACACTCCTCACAGCTAGTTTTTGACTGAGGGAGGAAAACCAGCGGACCTGGARMAAAACCCTCGGAGCAAGGAAGAGAACCAGCCTACAAACTCAAATCACATATAGTCCCRGACCGGGAATCGAACCAGGACCACAGTGGTGATAGACCGGCGTTTTAACCGCTTAGCCATCCTTGCTCCCCTAATTGATTGATTGTTGCTGTATTATTACGTCCAGCCAAAAAAAATTGTAAATAATAGTTAACAGGTTTAAGGGAAGAAGAAGACATCCTCAGAAAGGGTGGATCCAGGATTTTTTAAAGGGGGGTTTGGTATTGAAATCAATATCAAAATTAAACATTCCCTCAGTCAAAAAACTTATTTARTATTATTTTATCTTTATTTTGGAATATACTCATTGAACAGGTAACCCCCCTTGCCCAACCCTTACTCTGATGGTTGCCCCTTGAGATAGTTGGGAATGTCTAGAAGTACTAGTGTCGACCAATATTCCAGGTACATGGGACTAGAAATAGAAGACCTCTCTTAAATACTATTATCATGATGGTAGACTGGAAAGTTGTGGCACCACTTGGTTGATTGTGCCCCAACATTCAGGAGCATTAAATGAGAAGTCTCACCTTTATATTAGTTCCGCCTTCTTGTTGATATAAATCAAATGCCCTTAAAATAAAATATTAATTGAAATCACATTTAAATTTTCAACTTGTATTCTAAAGTTTTTTATAAATTTGTTAACTAGGTGGGAAGCCAYAAGCTGCCCCGCCTTTAGTTCTACCTTTTCTTCAATAGCATGTATCCCCTGTCAGGGTTATGTATAGTCACCCACGATGCTTTACGAGCTATACCACAGGGACCCCAAATGATGCTTTTGGTCAAAAGACTAACGTTCGAAATGTCAGTAACTTCTCTTTCAATTTTATGGCTGCACCGGTGTAAAAAATTATCATTTTATCACAACACGAACAATATTATATTAGCTAGCCCACCTTCACACTAAGCTAGCATCGAGTTATAATTGTTAATTATCATTAATTTATACTGCATGTACTTACTTAATTCTTGCAGAGCTCTTGAGTGTGAATATCCTCACTAATTCATCATCCACTGATCTCTTGACAGTCTGTTCCTAATGGAGAAAAAAGTTAACTTTGTTAAACAACTACATGTATTACTAGAGGAAGATTAGGAGGATTAACATCATGGTTGTGTATTCCAGGGCTGTCGATACTCTCCTGAATCCAGGAGTCTAAAGACAWGGTCCRTATAATAATAATAGAGATCGAGTTCATTTTTGTGGTAGCAGCCTCAACAATATGTGTGCTCATCATCTTAATCTGTGATCTTTTTAAATTTATAATAGATTGTCGCTTTCTTTTATGACTTCCAATCAAACATCGACTATTACAGGCAAGTCTCGTTTAATTATTAAATTCTATCACGTCATCAGTCTACGTCACTACAGAGACCCATGATGACAACATGTTATATGGTTATAATATTTTCTATACCCAGTAAAAGATCATTAATGATGATTAAAAGTCTAAATATCACTGACGCTATTGTATAAGCCTTTGATCGGGAATAGTAGTCTAAAATAGAAGAACCATTATCAATGATAGTGAAGTTTCTTCTATGTGGTTTATCATAATATTTGGCAAATGTTGTGCATTAGCCCATCTCACGGCTTTTAAGATGTCCTTGAGGGGAATCCCAGCCAATTTTGCAGACATCACACATGTAAAATAATGTAAACATCGCGCATCAAAGGGTGGGTCAACATCGCATCACCCCAATTTTTCAGCTTTGTTCACTGCAACACCGCACGAAAAAAGGCCAACATCGCAACACCGCAAACCCCCAATGTTCCCCCCTTTTGACATATCCCCCTGGGTCCACAGTATTGTCCCCAGAGGGAAGCCGCTGCGACCATAGTTTTTTTAAGGAAGTGAAATTATGAACTTTGTCATCAGAAACCTCAGAAATAAAAATCCTATTGCAACAAAGAAATATTGCAWGTGGTCTAACCCCTTATACACACACAACTCATGTAGACTTATAGACTAAAATATGACATCATATTATATAATATATTAACGTAGACTTAAAAATACCTGGACATCTTGGGGTTTATCTCCTTTTCTGAAATTAAAAAAATAATATTTCAATCTACTTCTAGCAATATTACCCTTTTCCTGTTAAATAATCGTTATGTAATATTTACAACATGAGCAGCCGTGTTGTATGGGATTTAATTAATTATTCATGAGTTTTGCAAATACCTATACATGTATACTACTATTTAAATAGAATAAATGAAGAAAAAGCCACGCAACTTGTAACTGTTTTTTTTTTTTGTTGTTTATTTTTTTTATATATATATCAATATGCAGATCAGCAAACATTTTCAAAACAAAAAACAAAAAAACAATATAGTGAAGCCCAACTAGAATAAATATAGAAAAAGCCACGCAACTTGTAACTGTTTTTTTTTTTTGTTGTTTATTTTTTTTATATATATATCAATATGCAGATCAGCAAACATTTTCAAAAAAAAAAAAAAACAACAATATAGTGAAGCCCAACTAGAATAAATATAAAATAAAACAGTTTATTAATTTTTAACTCGAAGATTGCAAAGCAATCAAAAATAATAATAAAAAAAAAACAATATAGTTAAGCCCAACTAGAATAAATATAAACAAGACAAAGGGGTGGGGGCCGATTCCTTAAAACAGTTTATTAATTTTTTAACTCAAAGATTGCAAAGCAATCAAAGAGTTATAGGGAGATAGATGATGTGTGTGAGGAACTAGTTATATACACGTAAAGTCACTAATTTTGTCCTGTAAACATTCCATTACGATGATTTCAAGGATTATTCCGATCCACATCGATCAGTATTTAATTCTCATCGATTCATATAAACTTTAAATCGATGCACGGATGACACTACAGCAAGAACCCAGTCTAGTTGCAGCCCTTCCAAACYGTCGCCAGTAACCATGATTCAGACTCTGCTGAGACTCTGCTGGGCTAGAATGACTTCCGCTGGATGGTGAAAGTGCGGGCTCTGAGTATGGGTACGGAAACCCGCCAAGTCGCCTAGTAGCTAGAGAAAGCTGAGTCTTTATACGTCTTCGTAATGAAGCAACGAGGATTTAACGCATGTTTAGCCTTTGGAATACTTTTCATGGTATTTCTGCAGCTCACTATGATAATGGTTGTCTTAAATCGAAATTCAAGTTCAAATTATGGACAGGTTTACCCTGAATCTGTCCATGCACTTAAGATTGCACAATCAACAAGCAGCAACAGCAACCAAATTTTATCTACCAAAGTTTCTAATAATCCTGCWGTGGTAATAGAAAGAACTTCTCACGCAATTGTTCACTCCACAAAGAGCAGCGAAGTTGATATGGAAAATGATTATTTTCCGTTCGTGGACTTTAGGTTTGTCTGGCCCGAGGTCACACCRCACGWCACAAACCCTGGCAAATATTTCATTATTGTTTTAGTAAATTCTGCAGCACATGGGGAAAAATATCGGAAAAGACGAGATGGAATACGAAGTACTTGGGCTAATCCAAAATCCTGCGAGAATTTAAAAGCAAAGAAAAAGTGGCTAGTTGTGTTTTCGCTTGGCAAAGTTTACGATGCCCAAGAAGATGGCGCGGTCCTTGACGAAGCGAAGGAGCACAATGACTTATTAATAGGCAACTTCAAAGACTTTTACTTAAATAATGTAATAAAAACCTTCATGGGGCAACTATGGGCCCATTCGGTCAACCCTCAATATATTCTTAAGTGTGACGATGATGTCTACATAAGACTACCTGAAGTTATTGACTGGATGGTTTCAAAACAGTCACCGAATCGATATTACGGAGGCGCTCCGTACCATAACTTCAATGTTGATCGCGATCCTAAAGGCAAATGGGCCGTGAGCAAACGATATTTCAATGAATCGAAATTTCCTCCATTCTGTGCAGGAGCATTTAATGTTATTTCGTATGACGTTTTGCCTTTGTTATTTAACTACGTYCACAGAAGGCGTCCCTTTCACACAGACGATGCATATATTGGGATAGCCGCTAGGGATTTGGGAATTGCTGTTGTCCGAATTGACGGACTTTTGCTGGAAGATAACATGCCATCGGGTTTAGCTGGTTTTGATAATTGTAGACTTAAAAAAGCTAAAGGATTTGGTCATAGTTTAGAGCCGAATTTGATGCGAATGTTAGACGGTAAATATACCGCAATGTGTGAGAAACCTGTTCAATGTTAGTGTATAATTTGAAACCCTAAAAATTCCCCTGGGCCGGGTATCGATATTAAACACTTGCTATCACATATTGTTTCTTGCTTTTTTTTTATACAAAAACAATTTAGTGGCATTTTAATCACTGAAAAGTCTGGTATTTATACTTGTAAATGTCAACAAGACGGCGTGAAACAGAAATAATAAATTGAGCAAAATAGTGCTAGTTGAACAAAAGAAAACAAAAGAATTAGCATAAAATAACACAAAATTTACATATTTTACTACTGGTGGTTTTGATTGGNGACTTTTATTGAAAACAATTTTCGATCAGTGATACCTTTGCTTCTTCAAAGTTTTCTTTAATCTCTTTTGTAAAGTTTTGTTTATCTCTTCTTCAGATGCAATTCGAAACAACTCCAGCTGTGAGTCATTGCCCTGTAGAGTAAAAAACGACAGCGATTTCTTAAAGCAAGGAACTGCATAATCATAAGACATTGTTTTGTACAAAATGGTACATAGATAAAGTTTTCTCTGGGCAAATATTATATGACCAAATCAACCTTTGTGTGTAATGGGCCTGAATTTACATATACCTGCTCCGCCCACTTTTGTAGTTTTAAAAATACCTGAAATTCCATTGTGCTTTTGATATAGAAATGGAGTATGAAACTTAAAAGTTGCTAAAAGCTTTCTTTTCATTTTAATAACAAATTTGTGATATGTTGTCTAACTGAACAAATGTAATCAGGATTTCATTATATTCACAGTAGATTAACTCTAATTTTATTCTAAGACATTTCACAATGGTTGACAGGTGACGTCAGCCCACGAAGGAATTTCAGGAATTTAACAACAAAAGTGGGCAAAACATAATAGAGCGGATTTCGTATGAGTGGGACACCGTTACCGCACCGTTACCGCTACTGTACCGATGTCTAATCAGTCTTACCGCTACTGTACCGATGGCCAATCAGAAAAGAGAAAAGCTTCCAAGCACCAATCAGAAATCAGACTTACTGACGGTAATACCGCACTTACGGTTACCGACCATAATACCGCACAGCAAGAGAAATCGTCCAATTAAGAAATAGAAACACCATTACTGTTACCGTTACCATACAGCATTGGGAAAATTTGATCCAATCACAAAATAGCAAAATTTTAGAGAACCAATTGGGCATCCCAATTTTGGTTATGGTACAGTTACAGTCACGTTACAATACGATGGGTTTCCCACTCATATGAAATCCCCTCTATGCAAATTTGTGTCCATTCCACACTACCATAGCCTGATTTTCAGACAGGGCCTGGGTCCTATGCTTCACTCCATCAGAGTATATAAACCATTATTAATGAGTTTTACAACGTAACTTACCAAACAGCCCAAAACTTGTCCTGTTTGAGAGACAGCTATTGATGACACTCT